AAAAAAAAAGAAGGATGAAAATGTAGAAAAGCCATAAACACGAAAGAATGCAAATTATATTATGATTCATAGAGTAAAGGGGGGAGAAAAAAAATATTATATAATTTTATTAAGAACAGCATATTTTACACGAGGAACTCTGCAAAAAACGCATCTTCGCACGGGCAGCCCGTGCGTTGGCCAGTTTTTCGTTTTTGTTTACGGTTTCAAACCTTTTTGGGAAAAGTGAGCTTACAGTTGTTGTAGAAACAAATGACTGCTAAAGCATTTGCAGTTATATTTCAGGCACGCGAGGACCACTTGAATAAGGTTTTGGACGAAGCACGGGCAAATTTGTCGCGGATTTCGTCCGATTCCGGTCGTTATCCATCGATTTTGAAAGGCTTGATTTTACAGGTACGATTGCCTAGTGCTCTGTTTCCAATCAATTTATTATCACTTTCAATGCAGTTGACTCGTTTTAGGCGCTCTTTCAAATGCTGGAGAAGCAAGTGTCACTGAGATGTCGTAAAAAAGATGAGCAACTGGTGCAGCAACTTTTGCCGGAATGCGTTGATGAGCTGGAGCAGGAATGGGGCGAACGAACGGAGGTCTGACTTTGCACTGTGCACCACTGACGCTTTGAGTTTATCGCCATTTGTGTGTTCTGCTTCTCTTTCAGGTTAAAATTGACCGGACTGATTACTTACCGGCAGAAAGCGCTGGTGGAATAGAGCTTACAGCAAAAGATGGCAAAATCAAGGTTTCATCAACACTGGAATCTCGTCTAGAATTAATTGCAAGTCAGGTAAGTGTCGTTTTATGGTTTTGGTCCTCGAAATGAGTGCTTTTGCACCTTTCTCATTTTCCTCAATAAATAGCGCATTGCAGAAGAGGTGAGGACAGATGTAGCGCTGCATAAGGCGCTAATTTTAACTCACTCAGCTCCATGCTTAGGGTGATATTTACAAGTGCACGAGGGATGAGGGCAGTGAAGGAGGAAAGACAGCTGTTGAAATGTTAATGCATAGAGACTGTCGAAACTAATACTTATGAGGAAAACCGCAATATAATGTAACGGTGGTAAATTTAAATCTAGGTACTTTATGGTTATGGAAAAGGTCGTAAAAAGATAAAAGCAAAAACAAAAAATAAAAATGAAGTCTGAATTGAAATGTTTCGGTCCAATAAGTCGCATACATTCCCATTCAGTGCTACGACTGGACCCCGTCAATGTAACGGTTGCAGCGGAAGTATTAGTAACATGAAATGTGTTAAATTAAATAGAAAATAAAATAAAAAATTTTTTAAAAAACTGCCTCCACCATTACGTCCATTGATGCGATAAATGAATACCTATAAGTAAGAATTGAATGTAAAAAAGGTAATAGATATTAACATTTGTTGCGGTTGTTCAAGAACTGCGCATCATGCTTGAACAGCATGCATAAAGCGAAAATATTGTTTGAAACGTAGAGGATCAGGTAGTACCTCTCGTTATCACGTGAACAAGCTTCACAGTGTTTGATTTCATTGAAGACATGAAAAGAAAATAGGAGTAAGAGATTTGCTTTCTGAAACCCCTGTGCCAGTTTTTTCTTTTTTATGTGATTTTGTTGTTTTTTTCAGATTGTACCTCAAATTCGTACGGCATTATTTGGTGAGAATCCGAATAGGCGATTCTTTGATTGAAAGAAGTTGGTGATTGTGCCGCGTGGGGACGAGTGGGTGCCACAGTGGCAGCCGCATGTGATATGATATCTCTGTGATAAATTAACTAACTGATTACTCAATCAGATTGTGTAGTGGAATATTGTGTGTGTTTGTGTGTTTCACCTGAATCCACAACCATTCCTTGCTTCGGAGTAATTCTCTTCTTGTGAGAAACTGTTAGATGCATGCCTTTGTAGAGTGTATGTTTTTTTTTTATTGGAAATACGGCTTTTCCCGATACTTACTTGTCACGGCAATTTTTTGCCAAACTCGCTCTGAAGCACACATTTCGATTTAATGCTGTGCGTATGTCGATGTCATTCCTTTTTTGCTAATTTTTGTATATTACTTAACTTACAGTACGGTGTAATTTAGCGATTTAGCGTATAAACCGTTAGCTAATTTCTTGATTTGCTTTGCTTACTTCGATTGCTGTACGGGAAGCTCTTGTGCCTACTTGCAGAAGGCTGTGTAGAAGCAGGGATTGGAAATCGTTGGACCAGCTTTCTAAGGATTTTGGTTGGGCCATTCCCGGTTCCACGGCCCGTTAAGCATTCCCTTTCAGCCTGCTTCCTGTTCGCTGATTGGTGCTGGGGCGGTAAATTGCGATCGTCAGGCTGAACCACATTCTTGAAGGAAGTGAACGGTCCTGAGAAATCAAAATGTGGGACGGTTGGAGGCAGCAGGTTTACACAAAAGATGGGGTAAGGTCGAAAAGAGCGGCCGCTGGTGAGCGGGGCCGTAATGTCTGCAGCAAGTAGGCGGTCCGAAACATGGAAAATGTGGAACGGCCCCAGCCTGGAAATTTTCAGGGTAAGGGGAGTTGAATAAATTATGGTGGGAAAGACAGTAGGTCTATTCATGTGGTACAAAATCGTATGACATGCTGAAAGGTCGGGTGGGAAGGAATAGGTGGGAAATGGCCTGCCTGTGTTTTATCTCTTAGCTGTAAACACAGACAGTATGGGGTGCGGTTCGGGGCGGGAATCATCTGTACAGCCCCCTAACCAGCAAGTAAAAACATCAGGTAGCAGGCGTCAGAAAGAAGAGACAATGCAGTGTTCCCTCAGTCAGACTCATTAGGCAGTCTTGCTTCAGGTTTTCGCTCGTTTGACAACTGTTTTGGCCGTTACTGCAGCAATGCCCACTGAGCCGGCACTTGTTGGCATCAAATTCTGTCCGGAGTGGTTGGTTTTGCTTTTTAGTCATTGTTATTAATTTCCTCTGGACACTTTACAATTGTATGTTTCACTGTGCGTGACAGGCAAGAACATTGCCCGCTGGCACTATCAGTGTGCGCATCCCCTCTTTATGATTTTACTAGAATGTTTTGTCGCGACCTTAAAAGTTAATAAGTTGGACTAGTGTGCGTGCCTTCTGTGTATCTGTGTATATAAGTGTCGGAACACCTAGTTATATGTATGTATGTATATATATATATATGTATATATGTATATGTGTATATGCACATGCATGTATATATATACATATACATGTAATTATATACAGTAACTAAAATTGCACAATGCAGCGGAGAATAGAGGCAATAATGAAAAAATGAGGTGGCGAGGTTCTGAGGAGCCAAAACTTCTCAGAACAAGGTCAAGCAGTAAAAATGAGGGAGGAGTGCTTTTATACCCCAGAGGTTACAGACCAATGAGATTGCAAAATTTTAACAGGGGTAGGGCGTCCAAAGGTTGAACCGTGGATCAGAGACGTTTCCAACATAGTGATGCAATTGCTGCTTACGAAATTTCTAACAAAAAACCATAAATCATTATGTGAAATTGAATGTAACAGCTCCCATACGCCTTGCACAGCTAATTTGTAGCCATTCCTCAAAAGATCTTCATAACTGTTGCAGATTTATTTAACAGTCCCATTTTAACTGGTTTTTATTAGAAGTAAAACAAAAGCATTGCCATGCACACAACAGTGTTGGTGTTTTTCGCGATGATTATTATAGGGGGAGGGATGCAGTTGCTGAGGATAGTGTTTTTTACTTTTATGCTCCTGGTTATTTTGATGAGTCTGAAGCGGCTACATCTGCCTGTGGTCGTAGCTTTTATTTTTTTTTTTTTTTCGGACGAGAATGAATAGATGAATTGCATTTCTTTCGCTTTTTATGTGCATCTTCAGTTCAGCTCCTAATGGTTGCCTAACAGTGTCCATTAACGATTAGTCTTCAGTGCTAAAAATTAATTCTACGGAACTTTCGCGCGATTTCTGGTGAAACTATGTGCATGACTATGTTAGGAAGCAGGTGAACAGCTGATAATGAGTCCGCCAACTTAGCGCTTTGAAACTATTCGCAAGAAACGAGTTTTTTTCCAGCAACAATATGTTGTATCCGAAGGAAGATAAAGAGAACAGGCAGTTATTGTACGCATGCAGGAACTGTGATCACAAACAGCTTCATGAAAATCCGTGCATATACGTGAACAAATTGCTGCATGAAGTAGAGTAAGTTCAGCTTGATCTTTGATGCTCTCTACCTTATGCATCAGTTCCGATCCGAATAGCAGCCAGTAAATATACTGTGTAGTGTATTTAATTCGCAAAGGCTATCAGGCGAAAAACGGAGCAATTCTGATTCGTTTAGCGAGCTCACTCAAATTGTGGCCGATGTTATACACGACCCGACATTGCCGAAAACCGAGGACCACCCATGTCCAAGATGTCAAAAACGTGAAGCTGTATTTTTCCAGGCGCAGTCCCGACGAGCTGAAGTAAATCTGTTATTTTTTTTTAATAAAATTATTTCTTTTTTATGCTGTTACAAATTTTTTTGACCACTTTCCGTTGCACACCACTTATATCTTGATGAAGACTTCAAGAAAGTTGAGTATTTTGGCTATTTTTTAGCAGCTCTGTTGTTTCAGGAAGAAATGAGGTTGTACTATGTTTGTAAACGTTGTGCTCATCGTTGGACCGATTAATGGATGCATCAAGAGAACCAGCACTCGAAAACGTTTCCGCTTGTACTCATTCTTCTGTACAAAATTGCGACGAGATGTTTCCATACCGCTGTTTGTTATGCGTTTTTTGCAGCTGTGCAATGCAAAAACGCAAATTGTGGAGGGGTTGTATGTATGTGCGTGTGTGTGTGCGTGTGTGTGTGTGAGTGTATATGTGTGTATGTGTGTCTGTTTGTGCGTCTGTAACGAATTTTCATCTCGAGATCCACAAAAGCGATAAGGGTGAAAATTTGGTGACTTGATCTACACACGTGTACGAGCTCGTGTCCTCAAAATGGGAGCTCAGCTCCTTGTGGTTTTCGCGTAGGGGCGCGTGAGCGTTTTCGGGAACGGCCCATGCTAGGAAGCTGGAACTTCACAGAGTTGTTCCTTGGCCACGTCAAATCCAAAGATTTCAAATTCAGCCTTCACGCACCCTCAGGACTCACGTACGCACACGCCAAAGTTTAGACTGGCATTCTGCCAACTCCAAATTTAAGCTGATCAATAAACTGCAGGGAGCTGCAATTTTGCAGCGTTACTTGTCGCCTACTGTTGTGCCCGTGAAAGTAAATTACTTGTCAGCTCTTCTGCATCTCACATACGAACACGTGAAAATCTCACGCATGTGCTTTTGTAACTTCAGAATTGAACCAGCCAGAGGACCTGGACCTTCTGAGCATAACCGACAGTGGCCTGTGACCAGATACACGTGAAAACGACTTACACACCATTTCCACGTCTCACATACGTTTCACGCGCATACACGTGAAATTTGACCTAGCCCCGTAACCAGAGCAGTTGGAGCGCTGAAACTTTCTGAGCGCTGCCCAGGGCCATGTTTGAGCAAATGCATGCGAAAAACGCATTTACATTGCCACTCACGTACGAACGCGTTAAATTTGACGTAATTCTGCACCCAGAGCGGCTTGAGTGCTGAAAGTTTCTGAGCGCTGCCCAGGACCGTGTTTGAGCAACCGCAGGCAGAGAAATTATTCACGTTGCCACTCACGCATGAACACGTGAAATTTGACATAACTTAGCAGCCGAAGCAGCCAGAGCGCTGAATTTTTTGAGCATGAATTGTGAGTCATTATAATAATTTCTAACAGTCGTGGTGACCAGTCCCAGTTCTTTTACCTGGAAGCATCTGCCGGGAAGAACGTGCCACTGGCGAAAAAAACCTGCGAGGGAACTGTGCAAAAAGCGCATCCTCGTACCGGCAGCCGATACGCTTTCGACTAAGTATTTTCTTCTGTGAATGGGTTTCGTATGGACTGGGACACAGACTCGCTATGTGTTCGTATATGTACATGTGGTTTCCCATCCAGTGATACCTGATTTCTTCCGGGAATTTGATTTTTAACGCTGTTCTTTTTATCAAAAAAATGTTACTGTTTTTTTCATCGGAAAAATGCTGCTATTTTTTTATGTCAATATTTTCTTGTTGTATTGTGAAAGCTATCTTCACTGAATAAAATTATCGATACTCCTTCTTCGAGAGTTGTCAGCCTATGGCAGTTCTGGCCTCCAGCGATTTCTTTTACTGAAGAAACAGTACTGACGGCGTTTTCTTTAACTGTGGTATCACAGCACGATGACTATATCGGTCAGAAATGACCCTCCTCTTCACTTATAGCGGGGTAGCAACTGTTGAGTGGAGGGGAGGGGGAACGGTAAATTTCAGTTGATTGATATTTCGTGAAAGAAGTTGAAACAACATCATCTTGTTTGGCAAAGAAGTGCTTTATTGCATATTTCAAAGGTATCTGTGTTTGGGCACGATCTGCTCGTTTCCAGTAGGTGCAGTAAGCTGATGTTGAAGCCAAAAGCACTGACCGAGGTGCTGGGACAGGTTAATACGCCGAATACCAGTGGAGGCGCTCTTCTGCTGAATAATGAAGGTACCGCTTGATCCTGCTTACCCTCGTATTTGGCATTACTCTATGAGCATTTCTGGATGGACTTTTGCAGGATTGCTTCTAGCTTGTCACGGCTACGAATGCTCGGGCGACAGAGACAATAATGCAGCGGTATCGGCTGCTCTCATTTCAAATATTTGGGAAACTTTCGAGCGACAAGGTTGGTGGAGCAGACGAGTTATTTTTGCATAATCCAAAGAATGTTACATTCCCTTGGTCATCCTCATGGGTTTTTTTTTAGTATTTTGCAAAATGATTGCTTGTTATCCAGTAGCTTGTGAGAAGTTCGGCCTGCCCACTAAAACGTGTTGTTCCTGAGCTGTTAGTTTTTTTTCGCTAATTTCCTTAGGAGAACAAAATCCGAGAAGGCTGTTGCTTGGCCGTCCTGAAGCATCATATAAAGCTTACAGACCTCCAGCATGTTACCTTCTCTACTTGTTTTTAAGCCTTCAAAGACTAAACAAATCCTTCTTTTTTGTTTCAGGATTTGCTGTTTTAAGATTTTCCAGTCCCTCACCCCCACCCCTCCAATTCAACAAATTTTGTCATTCTAAAACTCGGCCCTTCCTGATATAATAATTGCTATTGCTGAAAATACATCGCCATCTTCTAGTGTCTGGTCACTCACCAATGTTCACATTGGTTGGTTTGCTGTGCTTGATACTATTATAAGAGTGGACAGAGTGTTGTAGAAATTTTAGAGATATAAACAATGAATGCCCCTGATTAGGAGTCTTGAAGAGGACGGTGACCTGAAATCGTCTATGCGTTAACATATGCAGTTTGTTTGGCATTGCTGGCGCATCACTGTGGAGAGGAACACAGTCGACTGGAAGTAGTGCCATTTAATAGATCTCCCAAGTAAGCAAGCCTGCATGTTCTGTGACTTGATAGCCTGTCTGTGATGGTAGTACTGGTTTGAAGGGACATTGTGATGGCTGGAAGTGTTGGCATATAACTAACTTGTGATTGCGTACTACTCATCTGCTTTTTATGCGTTTTTGCTGTGCAGCGCAGCCAGCAAAAACGCATATTGTCGAGAGGCTGTCTGTG